GGGGGGTGGGGGGCATTCTGGACAGCAGCCTTACCTCCTCTTTGCCTCCTCTTCCTTGTGCTGCCTCCACTCCAGCTTGGTTTTTCGGTAGAGGAGGTTCATGTCGTGGGGCAGGAGGTGGGGGCTGGGGGGCCCTGCTCAGCGCCACCAGGCCCGGGGGGCGGCCCTCCCTGGGTCCCGGATCCACTTGGTGGGGAAAGGGTGGGATGGAAAAAAAAGAAAGGTGTGGGGTGGGTGGGGGCCAGGAATGAATGGAACAGAATAAGGAGCAGAGATGTGACTCAAGTCCTCACAGAAGAAAACACGAGAGCCACAGAAAACCCAACAAGCCTCTAGGAGCCACAGACACACAGACAGATGTGCATGTGCCCACAGAGCCACACACTTTGACAAAAGTGTTCAGAGCCGCAAATACACTCTTTGGAGAGATCATGTCTACACAGACTCCCATCCTATGTAAATACATCCTCTACCACACAGACAGGCCCCCAGAATGTATAGCCCCCTGCGGTCACACACGCACATTCAGACACACCACCACCCAGCCTCAGACCTACATTTACAAACAGAGGACCGGACACATAGATTGGCATAGGTAAACACAAACCTGGGAACGGGCAGACACACACGCAGACATAAACACCCACCGACACACCCACAGACACACTCAGACCTCCAGACACAGAAATCTGCTACACGGAACTGGGCACACCTATAGACAAGGAGTTCTGACCAGGGCCTACATGCGTATAGCACCCGGCTGGGGAAGGGGAAGACATTCTGACTCCTCACCCCCTCTTGGGCCCTGAAGCTTGGCGGCAGGTCATGAGGGCACCATGGGGATGCCGAAGGAAGGGTGGGGGCACTCTGAGTATGGCATCTAAAATGCCACCCAACCATCTATCTCCACTCCCTGTGGCTCCCCCCCACCCCCAGTCCTTTGCCGGGCCTGGGCCTCGGTCCACCCTTATTCCTACTCCCTGGCCCCTCAGCAGTGGTCTCTGCCTCCTTCCCTCTCTGATGGCCCAAATCACCTTCTTCCTCTTCCAGGATTTGGGAAGCCCCGGCTCCCCTCTTCCAGTCACCACCCCTCAAGCCCACCCAGGGGTCTCCAGTCTGGCCCCACAGCTACCTTCTGAGCTGCGGCCTCCATACCTGCTCTGGTTTCCCTTCCCCCAAACACACAATCTCCTTTTTGCCTTCAGCCTCACTTCTCCCAGGCGCCCCTCCTCACGGCCGGCCGTCTTCCCCCTTCCCGTGTTTGTTCCAAACCTGGCCTGCTTCATCCCCCTTCTCCATCCGAGGGCCCCAGGTTCCGGGGCACCCCTCCCCTTCCCCTTGTCCTGCTACCCTGGGAATTCAGCCCCTTTCACCACCATGCCACCTGCTGGCCCCCTTTTATTTATTTATTTAATTATCTTTGCCCGGGTCTAGCATGGGGCGCCGT